GCCCAGGGCCCTGCTGGTGCCAGAGACGGCCAGGGCTGAGCCCGGCACCCCAGGCAGACCAGAGCCCGGCACCGCTGCGCTTGGCCGTTACGGGCTTGCTGGGCCTGCTGCCGCTCTTAGCAACGGGCACATAGAGCCTAGCTCCAGCCTCTCGTCCATGACAAACTACGCCCTGGTGCCAAGAGCATCAGAGCGGCCAGGCTGGGCCAGGCCAGGGTCCTGTCTGCCCACAGCAGCCAACGCCAGGTGCCCCATGGGGAGGGAACCCAACAGGGAATCCTCCCGGGATCCCTCCCCTGTCACCCAATCCCAGCCTCGGACCCCATCCCTGCCCAGCCTGGCTAGTAGCCATTGATGGACTGAACTTCCATGAAGCTATCTAGCTCTTCTCTGAACCGTGCTAAAGTCCTGGCCTTCACAGCATCCTCTGGCAAGGAGTTCCACAGGTTGACTGTGTATTGTATAAAGAACTATTCCCGTTTGTTTTAAACCTGCTCCCTATTAATTTCATTGGGTGCCTCCTCGCCCTTGTGTTATGGGAACAAGCAGTGCTTTTTTGTGATGGTGCTGCCCACTACGCAGTACCGGCACCTCCAGTCAGAGCTTACCTGGGACGAACAGAGAGTACCGGCACCTCTGAAATGACAATGGCCGACAGTCAGCTGGGTCTTAAAGAGAACCGGCACCTTTTTTTTTTTTTTTTACAAAAAAAGCACTGGGAACAAGTAATTAACTTTTCCTTTCCTTGCATCTGACAAAGTGGGTCTTTGCCCACGAAAGCTCATGCTCCAATACATCTGTTAGTCTATAGGGGCCACAGGACTGCTTGTGGCTTTTGCAGATCCAGACTAACACGGCGACCCCCGACACTTAACTTTTCCTTATTCACTTTCTCCGCACCAGTCCTGATTGTAAGATCTCGACCCTACCCCCCCAGAGTCTCCTCTTTTCTCAGATGAAAAGTCCCAGAATTTTTAATCTCTCTTCATATGGGACCTGTCCCAAACCCCTCAACATTTCTGTTGCCCTACTTTGAACTTTTTCCAATGCCAAGAGATCTTTTTGGAGATGAGGAGACCACGTCTATGCGCAGTGTTGAAGATGTGGGCGTCTGCCGTGTGGTTCGATTTATTTTAGATCCAAGGGAAACCAGTACACTTCAGGGCAACTTAAGCACTTCCGTACTTATTGCAAGCAATGAGGCAATGAGATATTCTTGGTCTTATAACAAGGGGGGTTCCGCAGGGGTCTGTTTTTGCGACTGGTTCTCTCCAGTATCTTCATCAACTATTTAGATATTGGCATAGAGAGGACTCTTATTAAGTTTGCAGATGATCCCAAGCTGGGAGGGGTGGCGAGTGCTCTGGAGGATGGGTCAGAATTCAAACTGCTCTGAACAAACTGGAGAAATGGTCGGAGGTCAATAGGATGAAGTTTAATAGGGACAAATGCAAAGTGCTGCACTTAGGAAGGAACTACCAGTTTCACACACACAGAATGGGAAGCGACTGTCTAGGAAAGAGTATTGCAGAAAGGGATCTAGGGGTCACAGTGAACCACAAGCTGAATATGAGTCAGCAGTGTGACGCTGTTGCAAAAAGACCAAACCTGATTCTGAGATGCGCTAACAGGAGAATTGTGAGCAAGACACGAGGAGTCATTCCTCCGCTCTACTCTGCACTGGCTAGGCCTCAGTTGGCGGATTGCGTCCAGT